TTTCAACTTTGTTGGGTGTTTAAAAACTTCGCTATAAAAAACAAACAAACTTCCTTATAAAATGCTAGGGGAAAAGGCATCGAAAATGCTTCAAAGAATATATGTTTAGAACTTATAACCTCTAGTGGATGGAAACTCTGAACTTCAAATCATATTAAATTTCGATTATCCTTTAATCACCCCAGACAAAAAAAAACATGTTATAAATGACCTTGTGTCCTAGTTCACAAAAGCTCAAGAGGAACAACTGGAAGTGACCTTCCTGAAGACCAGTGACAGGCAAGAGGGACTTTGATGCAATTTCCCTTTTCAGATTCAGATCCGGTTCTGAAATTTAGGTTTCATCTGAAATCTAAAAAAAGCAGATGACAACCACAGGGTAACTATTCCCACTCCTTTAAGGGGTTCACTCCCCATAAGATCTAGCTCTGGTTCTTACGCAAGGGCCACAAATACCAAATACTGGGTCCATAATCTTTTCAGCTCTAAGAAGTTCAAAAAGTGGCAGTAAGAATTCATGGATTCCCCTGCAACTGTGTGAAGAAAATCCAGGGTATGTGCAAGCACATGGGTAACTTTCGAAAGTGTGTAATCCATCACTTTCACAGGACTCTCAAAGGCATTCATGACACAAAAATTATTTAGGATTACTAAGCTAGAGTTATGTAGCAAATGCCCCCACACCATTACTCCTAAACTTTGACTCAGAAATTTCAAGAATGCCCACATACTTTGTCTTTATAAAACACCCTTTAAAAAATCTGAACTACGTAGTTCTTACTGTAATGACACCCCCTTTTTAAACCTAACTTGTTGTTCGATGAGCCTTTCCTTATCTGATACAAAGTAATTTCCCAACTCGACTTACACCCTTCAACAACTAGAGTCACAAAACCTAAAACAGTCTCACCGAGACCTTTCATTATGATGCCAGGCAGTTAATGATGCTTCCCAGGTCATGATGCTCGGTCTTTTGACCGAATTAGAGAAGGCAGTTGCACCAGCTGTTTCTTACTATCCAAGTGGTGGGCAGCCAAAAAAAAGCCTGGCATGCTATCGAGGACTAAAAAGAATTACTGTACAACTTGAAAATAAAAATTAAGTCATAGGAACAGACATCAGACTGACAAACGTTAAAAGGTTAACTGGGACTCATCTAAATATGCAAACTTATGAGCTGAATACATAATATAAATTTTTCAACTTAACTTTTTTTTAAAAAAAGCTTACATGGTGTGGCTCTGATTTATAAGTAGTTCAAAGAACTTAAGATTAAAAAACAACCCAGAGATATAAAAATATTTTATACATGCCATACTTAAATGCCTACTGATAATACAAGATCTTAAATGAAAACACATTGATAAATAAAAGGTATCTTTTTTTGTCTAGCATCTACTAAATCAGGTAAAATTACAGCTATTACCTGCAATGTAATAATTTTCAAAGGTAGTATCTCAGTTCTAGCTTTAAAGAATTAGGCTCCAATCATATGCATTAAAGGTCCATCACAATTACCTTGAATAGTGTAGCTGTTTCTGGGATTATTCCTCTAATTTTCACCTGGGGCTCTAAAGGCAACGGGATAAGTTCCACATCTGACAAGTTCATCTTTTCGTTGTCTCCAAGCAACGCCTGGAGTCTTTCATTCTAGAACAAGTCAGAAAGGATTAATTAGGTTAAAGTGAAAAAAAAAAAGCGGTTTATAAAACATGGTAAAGACATAAAGATTGATTCTATTAACTTTAAAATATCTGTAAGGCACCACAAAAATACATGCAAAGTAACATAAAGGAGATAGTGTATACTGAGACAAGCACTTATAACCCAGCTGACAAGGGCAGCAGCATGCTTAAAAAGGAGTAATTCTCTGACTATGAGAAGCTGGACTTGCATACATTTCTCTTGCTGTGGCTGAGAACCAGGAGTACATTAGACCTAGATTTAAAGATTAAATTTTTGTTTTCAAAGGATTTGTGAGGCCAGAAAGAGAAACTGCAATTTCACTTGAAGCTTAATTTTCCATGACCAAAATACTAAGTGTGAATTTCATTATGCTGCACTGGTGCATGTTGGGGGTTGAAAAAGTAAATTCAATTCACCTGGAGGGACGCTATCTTTTACTGTGCATTGACTCTGACTGATCAAACTTTTCCTAAGATAGCATCATGTATTTTCTTCAGTTCACAAGCCTACCACATTGAACCAAGATTTTAGAAACTGAGAAATTCAAGTCACAGGCAAACAGCTTCGTCATATAGTATCTGTAGTGTTTAGACCAGGCCCTTTCATTCAATTTCAAGAACAATCTATTTCCTTTGAAAGCTGTGAGTCATGCAGCCTTTAAACAGGCGAGCTTGTTTTTTTTTGTTGTTTTTTTTTGGCGGTGGGGGGTGGGGGGGAGACTTGTCTTGTCAATCCCAGCAGCATAAAGCACTTCAACCGTTTCCCACTGAAAGACACGTGCATCACAGGAGAGAACTCTGAAATCAGTGAGACGGGAGTTCAGAAAAATCATGTTTCAAGGATCCCAAGACATAAAATTAAGTTCTTTCCCTTCAGTAATACCCTAATCCTCATTCTACATCGTGGAAAATTCGAGTTAAAGTCAACTGAAAACTGGTATGAATTTGTACATATCCCTTACAAATATCCGTAAATCTACCTAACCAAATGTACTATCGGATATACTAGTATGAAGTAATGTCAACTAATCTGAATTTCAAGTTATCCTATCATAACCAATTTCTAGTTGATGTGCTAATAAACAATAAAGTAACCAGAAAGCAGATAATAAAAGAAGGGTGAGAAAGCCAGCCACTTCCCACCACCTCTACTGTTATAAGCCCTGGGGTCCCAGCCGCCAGCAGGCCTCACCCTGAGGACCGCAACAGCCTCCTGACTGCTCCTGTTCCTCAACCTTTGCCTCTGACGGTCTCTTATCCAAAACAACTAGGGTGCTGCTGCTAAAACAAAAGTCAGATCACACCCGTCTCCTGTTGAAACCCCCCCTCCAGCCTCCACTCCTAGTCAGTGTTTAAGTCACAGTCGTTCTAATGGCTTACAAAGCTCCACCCCATCTGCGCCCCCATCATCTCTGTCCTCATCTCCTGCTACTCTCTCCGTGCTCCCTTTGCTCTGAAAACACTGGGCTTCTTCCTGTGTCTCAAACATGTCACTCGTGCTCCCGTACCAGGGCCTTTATACTCGTTGTTCCTCTGGCTGGAACAGTCTCTGGATATTCACATGGTTTGTTCCGTCACCTGATTCAGGTCTTTGTTCAAATGTCAACCGCTCAGTGAGGCCTCCCCTGAGCAGTCTGTTGAGAAGTGGAACACCGCCTCACCACTACTAGAAGCCAGCCTTTCCGATTCCCCTTTCCTGCTTTCTTTTTCTCCATAGCCCACGTTATGCCCAACACACTATATATTTTACTTATTTATTTTGTTTAACTCTCTCCTCCAACAGGAATGTAAGCTCCATAAAGGTGGGATTTTTATATTCACTGCTGTATCCCTGGAACCTAGAAAAGTGCGTGGTACATAGTAGGCATGCGATACATTTTTACAGAACAAATAAATGAATAGTATAATATAACCTCAAGAATCACGAAGTACAAAGAGACCACTAACCATGTAAAATAAAAGCTTTAATTTTTTAAAAACATCAATGGAAAAATGCCTTTTTATTACAACTCAAATATCTGCTCAGAGACCTCTTCTAACGGAGTCTTTCCTAAACTGGAGGTGGAGAGGAAAGAAGATAGCAACAACAGTAGCATTTCTCTTACCATTTACACCTGACTCACAGGCTGCTTGCCACATATCTAACCCTGCTGCACTCACCACATGTCTCTCGCAACTTCATTACGAGGGGCGAAAGAGTGCTGATACGATTTTAAATGACTAGCAGCAGGCATTTCATTATTACTAGTAACACAAATAGTGGTAGTACATAGCCATCTTGGCATTTCTCCATGGTGCCAAAGGTTGTTTCTGTGTAAATACAATTGTTTGTCTTTTACCACATCACAAAAAATGTCTACAAAGATCTTTAGCCAATGTTGAGACTATATTTGAGACTAACTTAAAATACACGCTCTGTGACAAGAACAAAATGCATTTTTGAGGGGTGAGGTCTGAAATAAGTGGTCATCCTCCAGAATACATAACACTGAGGGGTAGCCGGAGGCTCCTGTGTGGTAAATAGAAGAGCATCACACAAACTATGCCTTAAATACCTATATGTCCCAAACGCGTCTCAGTAGCAGGCGCTCCCTCTGCTGGTGGGCGTTGGACTCACATGGCTTCTCACACAGGCACTTCCGGAGCTTGAGGCTCCAGGCGAACAGTAGTAAGGATTTAGTTATTTAGCCATGGTTTACGCTTCTTCCCAACAGCAGAGAAAACGCCGCCTCAATAAAAATGTGTTTCTCCTCAGCCTATTTTCTCCTTCCTAACCTTGTGAACATTACTGCACAGGCATGTCTCTGCCAGCAATTCTCCTTAGACCTGGGCCCTGCCTTTGAATTCCTGGCTCGGTTTCTCACCCTCTCCCTGCTCCGCTTTCCTCTTACCAGCCCGGAGCACAACAGTAACATGGATTGTGATTTTTAACAAAGGCCACTAAGAAAGATCTGCCTATTACGGGACGTGGTAAAGAGAAGAGACCAAGTGAGTCCTTCGTATCATTTAGAGTATTGATTAGGGAAAGTGACATATGAAGGCCAAATAGTCATCTAGCCTCACCAAGAAGCCTCACTGTTGAGAGAAAGATCAATGTACTAGCCAGAAGAACAGAGACAAAGCCAGTGCTGTTGCGAACAACTAGTTCTGCCACCTTGGGGAAGTCACAATAAACCTTCATTTTCACTGAAGAATTCTAATTTAATGATCTCTGGAGGTCCTTCCCATGGCAAATGAATTATATTCTAGGATGCCAAGAGTCTAAAATAAGAGCCAAGAAAACACTGTAGGTAAAAATATGGACTCAAAGTGCCTGGGTACCAATCCCAACGCCAACACTTGTGGGCTGAAGAGAGTGGACAAAATTATTTAACCTCTCTATCCCTGCTTTTCCTGACAGTTGGGATAATAATAGTATCGAACTTACAGGGTTGTTGTGAGGATTACATTAATATATGAAAACTCACAAAACACAAACTCGTACATAATCAGTACTTTCAAGAGTTCCTATTACTATAATGACATGGTAAGAGTTTTGTAAAATATATCAACCCAAAAAGAAAGTACCAAAGCTCGGTATTTTACGATGCCAAGACATTATCAGTCATCAACAGAAAGTCCGTAGGTTTACCTTTTTCTTACGGTTTCCGCTTTCACGCTGCACTGCCTTCATGAGGTGTACCAGCCGATCTACAAACGTCTGCTGTGCAGCCAGCAAAGAACGCATAACTCTGACAGACTTATCACCCTGAAGGGATTCCACAGAGAGGAGAATTAGTTCCAGAGAGCATAATGAGCAGGGCTTCTTTAACAGCATGGGTGATCTTTATTTATTCTTCTAGTAGCTGCAAACTTCAACACAAAGTGTAATTGAAACAGATCATCTTGATTCAGAGATAATGACAAACATGCTCTCTTAAACACCACCAACCCTTCCACAGTAGAAAATTATCTGAGTTTTCAGTGAACACTAGAGTCTATCAAAGAAAACATCTTTTTCTTTATCACATACAACCATGTATTATAACAAGATAGAATTCATTCACTCATCGATTCACTAAATATCTGGATGTCTATGATGTCTTCAGAAATGTGCCGGGCATACAGTAGAAACGATATTATCTCTAAGGGACTAAAAATCTATTGAAAAAGGAAAATACTCCAACAGCCACATATTACACGTTGCTTAGTAAAATATAAGCCATAAAAACTAAACACTATAGTCTTATGTAGTGGGTCCCATTTCCTAAATAATAAAATACATTTTCTCATTTTAATCTTCCATTTATACTGACAAAGACGACTGGGCAAATATTATCATGTCATTTCGAAGATGAGAACATTTAAACTCAGGGGAACTGAGATTCCTTTCTCAAGGGGTGAGAAAGGCTGTGATAAAACTGAGCTTAGAAAAGAGGACCAGCTGCTTATTTGCTAATCAGTTTGATACAGATCCTGAGCTCCGAGAACTATATAAAAGTTTCACCTCAGAGAGTTCATAACAGGTGATTTAAACTATTAAAAGTATGAAACAGAAGATAAAAGATGCTACAAAGTAAAATATTTCTGTAAATCAGATTAAGGCTGTGAGTTTTCTTTTCAGTGCCAGTGCACCCTCTGCTGGCTGCATAGTGACATTGTTTTAAGAATCACACAAACAGCAGAGGAGGGGAAAGGGTTTTACATATCTCTAAAAACTGTTTAAAAAGCAAAAATACATATTATATGGAAAGTATGACCATTATCTACAATATGACAACTGCCAGATTTATGGGAATGGACCTGGCCTAGAAAAGAAAAAATAGAAAACAGAGATGGAATGAAAAGGCAGAGTTTTGGGGTTTATTTATTCCATGCATAGGTTTATTTCATTAAATCAGCGATCAAAACTTTCTGTAAAGGGCCAAGGATCAATACGTTAGGCCATACACTTTCCATTCCAACTATTCAACTGCTATCACGGTGCAAACATGGTCATAAACAATATGAAAACAAATGAGCATGACTATGTTCCAATAAAATTTTATTTATGGACACTGAAATTTGAATTTCACATAATTTTCCTTTATCACCGAATATTATTCTTCTTTTGATTTTTTTCAACCATTTGAAAATATAAAAACCATTCTTAGCTCATGGGACATGCCAAAACAAGCAACAGGCCAGATCTGGTCCATGCACTGTGTTTGCCAATCTCCCCATCAAATGTTACCTTCAACAATGCTTGGCTGAATCGTCTCATTACATTCAAGTACATCTCATGGGTCTTTGGATCTCTCTGCTGAGTATCTTGATCTTCACATTCCACGATCACGTACCTTAAAAATATGTTAAGTCATTCAGACAATTTGAATGAAACTGAGATTCATTTTGTAAAAACTTATGCCTTTCCATTAAAGCAGATTAATTCACATTTGCCAAATAATCAGATGGAAGTAATGAGACATATTTTATCATCTCTATTTTAAAAGTGGAAAGTTAAGGAACATACACAATCATCCATACAAGGTAAGTTAATGACAATAATGCCTTAATGTGCACAATATTCTAGATTTTCTAAAAATTTTGGTGTCAAAACAAGCATTTTCTCCTAATACTTTATGAGTACATAGAGCATTAACATCTTCAGCAATCACCTAAGCTCACATATTTGCTAAGTGGCATAAGACAAGAGTATTTTCACAGCCTATGTAGTGCTTTTGGCATTACTTATGGCTCTCTTCCTCTGAAAACCAATCTGAAGCTATTCCCTTCATTAATATTCTTCTGAAAGACAAATAAAGAGTTAAATTGATTTTTCTTTTCCCATCCAATTTTCCCATTTCTCAAAAACCCAAGTATAATCTTCAATTTTTCCTCATAAAATTGTGGTTTCAGACAGTCAAAAGAAATTTTAAATATTTTCTTAAACCTAAACTGCATATACAACTGCATAATCATATAAGCAATAATCTGGATTAGAGCTTTTTAAAATAAAGTTTGTCAAATGTATTGGGGTGACAGTGGTTAATAAAGTTATACAACTTTCAAGTGTACCATTCTATAATCATCATCTGTAGATCACACTGTGTGTTCACCACCCAAAGTCAAGTCTCTTTCCATCACCATATATTTGATCTCCTTTATTCTCTTCCGCCTCCCTCCTCTCCCCTTTCCCTCTGGTTAGATTAGATCTTAGGGGTCTTCTACTCCAGTGTTTATGCTCTTTTTTTTTTTTTAAGTATAGTTTCAAGTGTTCAAAGTGATAAAAAAATACAGTGAATGTTTAAATTTAAAAAAAATTATTACATTAAAAGACACATTGCCATTAATCCCCCTCAAAATACTCCCCCTCGCTTCAGCACCCTTATCCCATCATTCTTGCCACTTTCTGAAGCAGTTCTGGAAGTCCTCTTCCGTGAGTGTCTTTAGTTGCGCTGTCGTGACTGCCTCGATGGGCTGAATCCATTCAAAATGTTTACCTTTCATGGTCATTTTGACTTTGGGAAAGAGCCAGAAGTTGCACGGTGTTAAGATCAGGTGAATAAGAGATGGATGAGAACACATCATAATATTTTCATTTAACAGAAATCGCCATACCAGAAGTGATGTGTGACACGGAGCGTTATGATGGAGGATGAGGTAAAGACGCTCACGAAAGAGGACTTCCACCAGAACTGCTTCAGAAAGTGGCAAGAATGATGGGATAAGTGTGTTCAAAGCGAGGGGAAGTATTTTGAGGGGGATTAACGGCAATGTGCCTTTTACTGTAATAGAGTTTTTTTAACTTTTATAAGGGGAGTTTATCTGAAAATTGGAAGAGTCAAAAGACCACAAGGCATACAAAAAAAAAAACGCGCCCACTTTTAAGCAAATCTGTAACTTGAAAAAACAGCTTCAAAACATTGTGAGGGTGGTATATCATTTAAGAAGTTCCAGCCACTGGGTGATTTCTTTGTACCAGCTAGCATGTCTAGTGATGACGTTCCCATGAAAAGCTTTGGCTTTCTTCAGTCTTCCTTCCATAGGCTTGTTTCCAGATGATGCTTCAGGGAGGATGGAAGGTCCATGACATCTGAGATTAACGTTGTCTACTGAGGCAGCAAGGCCCTGACAAACTGAGCACACATCATATGGTGAGTACCAGTATTTTGGGGTTTTTTAAGAAGATATTTGAATTTTTACCTCTAATCAAGTAGAAGGATTTGTTATCTGGTTTACATTCAAGACTTAGTTGTCTTATTCTGAGAAATAAGCGTTCTTCTGGGTTAGGAAACCTCATTGTGAGATTTGAGATATGCTGGTTTGGAGTGTTTGCTAAGTTTTTCTTGGCTTCAAAGTCCCCGGCCTTATAGTGGGGTAAGGACCACTGGAGGCAGGTGTAAGGACTCGGGTAATACAGTCCCATTTCAATCCTGGCTGTGCATTCCTCTATACACTGCTTAATCAGGACTGTGTCTGTGAGAGTTTTGTTTTTCTGGAACAGCATGCTGGCTTCATTTACTTTATACTGGTTTTGTTTGTTTTTTTGTTTTCTTTTAAAGTTTATTGGAGTGACAATTGTAAGTCAAGTTACATAGGTTTCAGTGTACAATTCTGTAATACATCATCTATATATCACACTATGTGTATACTGTTCTTCTTTAATGGTGTCTTCCATCTGCCTTCACGCTGACTGCCACTACCTTACTAGCCTGAAAGTTTGGTGGTAGAGGTCAAGAACTTCTTGTCATGTTGCTGTTGTGATTCTGCATCAGTCCTGCCTTCCCCCATCCACAGAAGCACCGCAGCCCCGGGCAGTCTGAGAGGAGGTGGCGCTGGGAGCCAAGCTGAGCCTCGGCAGATGGAGCTCCAGCAGGTCCAGTAGCAAATTTGTTTTATTTAAACATTCACCATATCTTCTGATCACACCTCGTAGCTCCCTTCAGATGTTATAAAGAAACTGATGCTAGATGTCATATCGTAACTACTTTCAGTAGCTCAACATACACCACACAGTCTTATGTACAGACATGTTTTAAAAATTTATAAAAGAGCCTTCCCCTCCCAACTCCCCAGTGTCATGTTTTACCATGACAATAACGTGTTCTGGAAGTCCCTAGAGTTGGATAATCTGGAATGTTCTGTCAAGCAGTGTGAAGAACTGAACCATGATACTGTATCCACCATATCATGCTCCCAGTGAGTGTTTTAAACCAAAAGTTCAAGATGCGATTCTTGAATCTTGAATCAAGAAAGTCTTCTAGAGACACAGGACATATATGACTATCTAAAATAAAATTAATTAAAATTAAATAAAGTACAAAACTCAGTTTCTCAGTCACTCGCTCCACATTTTGAGTGCTCAGTAGCTATGCATGCAGCACTGCAGATTATTTCTATCACCGTAGAAACTTGTATTGGGCAGCTCTGTTCTAGATGAATGAGCTAAGAACAGTTAAGATAAACTCATATTTCCTATTAATGGTATTCCAATATATTTGGTCATTTCAGGACACCACCTAAGAATGTCGAACAGTGGTTCTAAACTGTAAAACTGTCCAACTATTCAAACCCAGTCCATACCCATTTTTTACCCTTTATAGTCTTTGAGGCATGACCTTAGAATATTGATTGCATTTTCCTGTGTTTAACAAAGTAATTTCTAAATGAGTAATGCATATGGCACACTGTACAGAGTCCGTTGTTGTTTTGGTCTCCTTGGTTACCAAGTAAACACAATGGCCCCGTGATTTCCTGTGGTTGAGGGTGTATGTTTTATTCATGATAAAAGTCAAGTATCAAATACCTCTCAAAATCATTCAAGCTAAAGTTTTGCTGCAAGGGTAAAATATCTAAAATAAAAATATTTAAAATTTAAAAAAAATTAAAATAAAAGATAAAAAATGTAAAATAAAATAACAGCACCATTTGCAAATTATGAAGCACAGATTTAAATTTAGATCAAGACTAGAAGACCTAGATTTGAATCATTTCTGAATTCTCTGTTCACAGCACTGTGCTAGATTCTACAAATCACTCTATGGTGTTCCCTTTAAACATATCATCTTCAAGTAGAAAGGCGAACAAGAGTGTCCAGGTAACCATTTTAAAATGACATCAGTGGGTTACCTGTTTCCTGGCAATTTTGTTTTGTGGGGCAAATAACCTTTATCACTTTGAAAGGTCTTAACAGTTATAGAAAAACATGTCAAAGAATCCAAAGTTGACTTTCAATTTCAACATACCAGTATAGCTATAAAAATAAAATACTGAATGGATTTATAGATCCTAATACCTAACATTTTATAGATTGAAGACTACAACTCCACTCTGTGCCTTAAAAGGTTGACACTATTCATTTTAAAAGGATTGTCTGCACAACAATAGGCCCCTTAGGATTTAGCAATAGCAGGAATCCCATTTAAATTACTAGAAAGGGGGCCAGCTGAGTGGAGTGGCGCGTTGGCTAAGAGCTGGCTTGGGACACCAGAGGGCCCCGGTTTGGATCCCACATATGAGGGCCAGTGACACTGACGTCTGCAGCTAAGATGCTGAACAACAGCTCAACCTGGAGCTGGGCTGCTGTGAGTTGCCGGCGATGGCACAGGCTACAGCCCCTGCTGCAGTGGGTTGCCATGGGCTACTGTGTGTAGCCAGCAGCCAGCGTGAGCGGCCAGCAGCCAACGTGAGCCGTCCAGAAGCTGGCGACTGATCTGCCTCGCCCGGGAAGAGCGCAACGATGGTGCCAACTTGGGCCAGTGAAGCAACATCCTCCACAACTAGACTGAAGAACAAAAAAGGATAGCAACTTGTCTGTTCCCCTTCCCCCGATTCCCCAGTGCTGTTCCCATCCCCCAACTCCCCAATAAAAATCTTTAAAAAAAATAAATAAATAAAAACAATAATAAATTACTAGAAAGGGAACAAATGAAAAAGGAAATTCAAAATGTTCAAAGGGAAATAGCACGATCAATTAAAATTTGTATTTTAATACACTTGTTATAATAGAGTAAAGCTTAGGGTGAGAGGCACTTACATTGTCACATTTGATTAATATTTTTATACTATTCTGTCCATGTTCAAAGGAATAGAATGATTATTTTAAACCAACTATTTGAAATGATTTCCCATATTTTCACCTACAATCACTAACACAGTGTTATCAAAGTCAGAAGTCCACATCAACAGCTTTTTTTCCCCCATGAGTATTTCTGAATATGTAATATGTAGACTTCAAATAGGGGAAAACAATTGCTGCTCAGAGAATGAATAGACAGAGCACATGCCACTGCTTCAGTGAATCAGATACGGTGGGGAAAAACAAATCAAATCTAAGTTTGATGGAATGTTTATAAGACTGGGAGTTGGGGCTGCACTTTGTTTATTATCTGTGGAGAAAGTGTTCTTTCTGAACACTTGTTAGAAACTACTCATCTCATCCATTTCCTTCTGTTCAGCTGCTTTCAGAATGGCTTGAAAACTCTTCCTACTTGAAAGAAGAGATCAAAGATACTATCACCACTCATTTCAGGTTTTACGATGAAATCTGGTCTACGGTCAAATTCAAAGAATTTGTAATTTTAAAATGCCACATAATCAGTAGGTGCACACACAGCTCTTATAATAGTAACTACTCCAGATTATAAATTCTGAGTCAGAGAAAACTTGCCGTGAATATTGTAAGGAAATAAAAGTACCTATAACAAAATTCATAGCAAACAATTTAAAATATATAAAATCTTACTTTTAAAATACCTAAGAAGCTTATTAAGTACCTACTCAAAAATTTGCCAAAATGCTCCAAACATTCTTTTATTTCCTTATAAATATTTATTTAGTTTCATGAGGAAATAATTTTCTATAACACCAGTGAATAGACATCCACTTAAGAACTCAGGTTGGAATATGAAGAATATTAGGATGCAACAGGTTACATTAAAAAGAAATAGTAGCTATTTGGTAATATGAAAATTTCTAAGTAAGCTTTTTAAGTAAAAATGATGATTAACGACTAGCCAAAACATTCTGTGGGTATATTTTCAAGGACACACTGAAATTTTCGGTGAGCAAAATGTAGCTTTAATTAAACTGCTAAAGTAAAAGCAAGGAACTATTGGGTTGTCGGAAAAGTCATGACGCATTTTTGTAACGAAAACAGAAAAAAATACATCATGACTTTTTCGACAACCTAATATTTTCCTCCCCACTACAAAAGCCAACAGGGGGACAAGAAAAATCACAGGTTCCAAAGTGGGTAAAAAAGTGACAGATTTAGTCAATATTACTAATAGTGGTTTTCTTCTTCGTAAAGAGAACCATAAAGACTGAAACTAAATAATTATTTATTGTTTATGTGAATAATAGACAAGTGTGTTTGTAAAGAGCCCTTTAATTTAGTTACCTATTTCTTGGCTTCAGGGGCAGTGTCCACAACAATATTAGGTTTTGAAGAATGCGAGAATAAAGTTAAGGCTTGATTTGACATACTAGACGGTTTTCCTAAACTCAGTCTAAAACAAGACAGTATTCTCTTTATTTTTGTCATGGAAAGCAAAGTGCCTCATTTTTCTTCAAAAATAATGAGCTTTCAGAATGGATGCCTATTAATTTGTACTGTTTAAAGTAAACACAGTAAACTGAGCAGTAAGGTTAGATCAGAGATCATTTCTACAGCTAAAAAATATCAAGGACATAAGTTTTAAGCGTCCTCTCAAATGTACAAACAGGCTTCAGGTAGGGCTTACCCAGCTGGCTCTTGTTTGCTCTGTAAAACTGGATAAGGCTCTCTTGCCTAGTGTTTAATCCTAAGCTTTTTTTTAATTGAATCAAAATATTTCTCGCCGTGGCTTAAGCTTCTTGTCCTTTACACTTTAGAATTCTGTGACAGATAAAACGAACCATGCTTCATATTAATTGCATCTCAAGATGTCAATTAGCCTCTCAATGCCTTAGTTTCTTTCTTTCGAATCAGAAAACCTGTTCTCATTACAGAGGTATTTATACGTGCCCACTGTAACTTCACAGGGACAAAGAAGAAAAGGTCAATGAAAACACTCTGTAAATGGCAAAGTGCTAGATGAATGATCTTATCCTAGTTCAAGTTCTCTCAAGTACAGTTGCATTATGCCTCTGCCTCAGTTTCCTCATCTATAAATTAAGTAATTTCAAACCTTTTATTTTTGTATGATTCCAATTTTTGGTAAATAATGTGAAGACACATTCCTGAAGGACTGTGAAGGATCATACTTACACAACTTAAATAGCGTAAAAGGCAAACACATCAAACTGAAAAAAAAAAAATATCCTATCTAATTTTATCTTAGATATTGGAAAGTCAGTGAAAAGAAGAGAAACAATGGTGCTAACAAGCATTTCCATGAGCAGTTGTAAAGAAATGCAATTAGATGCATGAGATGTGATAAAAAAAATAGTGAATGTTTACATAAAAAAATTTATTACAGTAAAAGATACATTGCCATTAATCCCCCTCAAAATACCGGCCCCCTTTGTTCGAACACATTTATCCCATCATTCTTGCCACTTTCTGAAGCAGTTCTGGAAGTCCTCTTTCATGAGTGTCTATTGCGCTGTCATGGCTGCCTCGATGTCCTGAATCATTTTGACTTTAGGGAAGAGCCAGAAGTCGTATGGTGCCAGATCTGGTGAATAAAGTGGATGAGGACACAGGACACACCATGATATTTTTATTTGACAGAAACTGCCATATACCAGAAGTGATGTGTGATGGAGGGTGATTTATGACACACTTTAAAACATAGCTTCTCTCAACCGTAGCTCACACCCAATTGACTGCACCGCACAAGTTGAAACTTGTCACCCACTTAGGTTTGACGTGCTGTTTCCTGTATTCAAGATCCCCAACTTTCTGCTAGATGGCACTTGGCGGCAGCATTCACCATATTTCTGCATCACAACGGAAAGGCTCCATGTCACACATTGCTTCTGGTATAAGGCAATTTCTGTTAAACAAAAACATTACAGTGTGTCCTTATATACCGTATTCACCAGATCTGGCACCATGTGACTTCTGGCTCTTCCCCAGAGTCAAAATGACCAGGAAAGGTAAACATTTGAATGGATTCAGAACACAGAGGCAGCCATGACAGTGCAACTAAAGACACTCAAGAAAGAGGACTTCCAGAACTGCTTCAGAAAGTGGTAAGGATGATGGGATAAGTATGTTTGAAGCCAGTGGGAGTATTTAGACGGGATTAATGGCAATGTGTCTTTTACTGTAATAATTTTTTTTTAATTTAAACATTCACCATATTGTTTGATCACACCTCATAAATACTGTATTTAGGCTTCTGACAATTGTTCATACCTTATTTTAAACTGACTTTATATTTACAGTATGGGGGGGGGGGGAACAGTCCTAAAGAGTGATAAGAAAATAAACAGAAAATTATTTTCACATACCAGTATAAATAATTAGCCAGTGTTGAGTTTTTGCAGGCTCTTGATATCAAGAAGGTACAGAGATCTTGCTGAAAGAATTAAAAGAAATGTATATTATATTACCTTCTGCTATTAACATGGAAGAAATCAGAGTCTACATTTGCCTATCAGTTTTCATCTACAGGTCTTATGTCAGAGGTCAGATTTCATGCATGGATCTATCCCAGCCTCCATCCATCCAGTATTTATTCTAACCTAATATTTATTCTCTTAATGTGAGAGGCTAAGGCTGCCACGGTTCACAAACTTCCTTGTCCTACTGGAAGCTTAACATTTACTGTAGGAGAGAAACATTAAAGAAACAGTCATAGAAACAATTTAGATTGGAAAGTCAGCAGAGGCAGCGATCAGTGATGCAGGCCAAGCGAGTAGCCCCCCCACCCCTACCCCCACCCCACTGGACAACTTTTAAATCTCCTCTTCCCTAGTTTCTTAGCCTCTGGCTTTATTTATTCTTCTAATCGGTTTCTGAAACCTAAAGTTTGCCCCTAGACTGAATCACAGAATATCTCTCACCCACCTAGGCTTTAGATAACTACTTAAAACCTGTGACTTCCCAACATTCCCCAAGCCATTCTGGACCCAACTCTTGGATAATCCCATCCCAGAGAGTAAAGAGGTTTTAACATTTCCCCAGGCCAGTATACTTGTTGATTGTAAACATTAAAGGCTAATGTTCTTTCCAAACCATAGCCACCCTACATCAATAGCTTTGAGCTCTGCTTTTTAAGAAATGTATTACAATCTATTTTTCCTCATTCAGGGGCCTTGGGGATACAGAGGGCACCCCAGCAAGATTTCCAGTTGCAGCCAAAGAAGCCAACATGGTCTTCCAGGTGGAGCTTGGATCTCATCTGAGATCAGCTAGGATGAGAGTTCCGTGAATCCCCCAATAGGCAGGGACAGCTCTCCGCCCCTCCCCAGCAGGAAGCAGATACAGGAGAAAAGACCTGTCCCTCAGTTTCCCATAGAGATTTCATGGGGATCACGTCTCTCAAGGGGAAAACAAGGCAGGCAGCTAGAGGCAGGCATTGGGTCTCTGCATTCCTGCACTTCCCATAGAATGTGACCACCCAAAAGACCTCCCCTCTTCACCCAAAACTCCTTTTCATTATAATTATCTACCCCTACAGGGAAACAAAGGGGTACAAAATACCCGACTGGACTAGACCAGTCACCCACACTTGCACTATAAAGACCATAAGGCCTTCATTTCACTTGGGCCTCATTATACCATCATTATAATATCATACATATGCCTGGAAATTCATTAATATCATTATAACAGACTGAATTCTGGGAAGGAATATGCACAGTCTAAAGAGATGAGGTAATAGCCTGTTGTCAATCATAGGTGTCAATCAAGTGGTCCCACACCCAGAGAGGAACAGCCCATTCTAGAGAAAGAAGAGATAAAAACACTAAGTCCTGGCCAGTCAATGCCTTTTTTGAGCATTTTGAGCCTTGCCTCTGCTAGAGGGGCCTGCTCCAAACTCTTTGGAATGTACTTTCTTTTCTGATAATGGCCCTTGAGCCATTCTTTATACTATTCAGGCCTGCTTCTGTTTCTTTGAAATTTATTTTTTTCTTCTAATAAACTCATTTTCTGCAACTTTACCTCTCTGGTCTGTCTCTCCATTTTTTGGCTACGTAAGACCATGATCCCACTGCACACAAAATCACACATCTAAAAATACTGTTTCATCACGGCGTGATATTTAGGCAAGACCAAAATGGCACTATGTACATAGGCCCTGAACGTGACTGTTCAAGGAATTTTTAAAAGGCCGAATGTGGCTAAATTAGAGTGATCGCTAAATTAAAGGAGGCTGAAAAGGTAGGCAAAGGTCAGGTTGTTCAAGACCTTTAAGGTCATACTACTGAGTACAGATTTTATTTCCAAAGCAATAGGTACTCAACATAAGATCTTAAGCAGGGGAGTGAGATGATCTGATTTACATTTTACGAAAATGACTTCAGTTGCTCTGAGAGGTACACACCTGACATCAGTTAGGACACTATTACAATAGTTCAGAAGAGTTAACCATGAGAGTGGAGATACAGAGATATGGGTAGATTTTTGAAAATATTTTGGAAGTATAATTAATAGGAATTGCTGATGAAGCGGAAGTAGGAAAGACAGTAACTCCCAAATTTATGGAGTTAGCAAATGGGTTGATTTGTTATATCACACAGATGAAAACTACAAGTGAGGAATGGGCTAGAGTGTAGGCAGAGAGCTGTATTTTAAAATATTAAGTTTGAAATACCTGTTAGATATATAAGGGAGATCCAGTAGGTTGATCATTTGAATATATGAATCTAAAACTCAGGTGAGTGAAATGCACCAGAAATATAAATTTGAGTTTACCAGTACAGCCTAGGGCAAGAGTATAAATTGAGACTGGAAGAGGACCCTGAGGAACATTAAGATGTCAAGCAGTGGAGAAAAAGTGCTGGCAAAGGAAACTGAGAAAGAACAGCAAGAGATGAAGAGGAAAACAAGGGATGTGCGCTATCACCTAAACCATGAGAAGAGTTCGTTTTTCAAGGGGGTGATTTCCTTTGCTGAATATTGCTGAGAGGAACTGAAAACTATGCACCACCACACACATCAAAGTCATTTACTACTTGAGCAAAGCAAGTTTTACTATGATGATGGGAAGCAAAGGCCAGAATGGTATGGGTGAAACAGCAGAAAGAAAGGAAGGAAAAAGTCAATAGGTATAAACAACTCCTCTGAGAAGCTTGATCAGGAAGTGAAGAAAATAAGTTGTTGTTCCGAGGAATGTGGTGTCAAGAAGGAGTTTTCTTTTCTTTCTATTTCTGAATTTTTAAGATGGGAGGTAATAACACATATTTGTACATTTCTACCAGGAAAAGAAGAAAGCCTACCTTTGGTGGGAGTTATATTTCTTCTGTGTAAGAAAACAGAAGCGAAAGATGGGAAGGGATCCATGTCTGTGAATATGGTGACGGGAAATTGCAACTAGTCTTACCTAATGGTCTCCTTGTGTTTCCATTAAGTGTGAGCAGAATTGTCATCTGGAGATTGGGATTTGGGCATAGAGAACAGAGTAGAAAAGGTATGAAAGAGTCACTGCAGAGTAGGGAGAGCAACCCGAGTAGAGAAATGCAAGAAGGCAGACAGTGTGGAGTGCCAGTCAACGTTTGTGGTCATGAGTTTATAGTGATAGCAACACGCTTAGCTATATTCTTTTCTTCAGCAGTATTCAGGCACAGAGAAATTAAGTAATTAATTAGGCTTGTCAAGAGTTAAGGTTTTGCCAGGGGAACTGAGAGTACTAATAAAAGAATGACTAAAATGATGAGCCATAGGATAAGAGATGGGGGGTATTATTCAGAGGAAAGCAAATATTAAAAGGGGCTGATGAACAAAGAAAGAGGTAGAGATCAATTGATTAGAAGTTCCAATGCAATGTGGGTACTTAAGAAAGTAAGCTAGAGTAATAAGAAGTCGTTATCACAAAGCAGATATGTCATTACTTTCAGAGGTGACAAGAAATCGTATTTTCAATTTTAGAGCTAAAATCTTGGCACTGGAGTTTAAATGTGTAACATTTAAAAACCCAATAAGGAAACTCCTTAATCAGAAAGCCATAATGTAATGCTGACTCTGTTAGTTGAAAAGACAGAATCTAAGCCTGAAGTTTACCTTTGACTATGAGAAGGACGCTACACTTTTCTACAGTGACATACAATTTAAATAGAAAACATGTGTTTCATTTGACACTGCTTTTTTCATTAAAAATATTATTTACAGAGTTTAAATAGGGGAGAATTAAATTAAAAAAAATTTGTGAAACAGGAAACACATACTGTACAATTTTGGATGAAACTCAATTTGGATGAGCAATATTTTAAAAATGTAAAAGAATTAGGAGAATATTCTTTAAGCAAAAAAAAAATCTCATATTGAAGATCAGAGATAAAAGAATACAGGTAAGTACCTCTAAATAGTTACTGATTGTATACAATAATTATATTATCTAATCTGGGGGTTAAATAAGATAGAACTAAATCACTAGATAAAAATTATATTTTTATCTAAACAAATTTCTAATACAAGGGCCAGCCGAGTGATGTGTTAGTTAAGAGTTGGCTTGGGACGCCAGCTCTGAGCGGCAGAGCCCTGGTTCGGATCCCACATTAGGGCCACTGATGCTGCGCCCTCTACAGCTAAGATGGTGAACAACAGCTCGATTTGGAGCTGGGCTGCTGTGAGTCACCGGCAATGGTGTAGGCTGAAGCCCCTGCCGCAGTGGGCTGCTGTAAGCTACCATGAGTGGCTGGCAGCCTGCGTGAGTGGCTGTCCAGGGGCCACTGACTGATCTGCCTCACCCGGGAAGAGTGCAATGATAATACCAACATGGGCCAGCAGTGAAGTGATGTCCTTCACAACTAGACTGAAGAACAAAAGGACAGCAACTTGTCTGTTTCCCTCCCCAATTCCCCAAAGTTGTTCCCCTCCCCCAGTTCTCCAATAAAATCTAAAAAAAATAAATAAATTACGTATATGTCAAGAAGTGTACTGTTTTGGGCAAAGGTAATATTGATTATGCCAGATTTAAAGTTAAGGATAGATGTTAAAATATGTAGGATAACCAGCAAAAGAATCAACATAGACATTATAAACTCTAAGCTGGAAGTAGTGATGGAAGATAAAGAGAGGATCCAACCAAAACCAGGCAAGAAAAAATGTGAGAAAAAATAAAAAGCACCACATAAGATGGCAAATAAAATCCAAATACAGCTTTAATCACAGTAAAAACAAATGGGGTAAAAGTTCCAGTTAAATAAAAGACAGGAGTGTTAACCTGGATTAAAAAACAAAATCAGTTAGATGATGTTCTTTTTTTTTTTTTTTTCTTTTAGCTGAGCCATCCTGCCACCTGTTGGCAGCTCAGCTCAGGCTGGACTCGAACCACTGTTGCTTAGAGCTCAAACCCTTGAGCGAGCTCTTAACCCACTGAGCCACTCGCCGGCTCTAGATGATGTTCTAAACAGATAAATCTAAAATATAAAGCCACAGAAATATTGAAAGAAAAAAAACTGGATATATATATATACTAGTAAATATACTAGTAAAATACTAGTAAATACCAATAAAGACAATACAGACTTTAAGGCAAAAACATAATTAGATATAAAGAGGTTTACTAAACAGTGGTAAAAGATTCAATTTACTTGAATGCACCCACTAAAATAGCTTCAAAATATTTAAAGCCAACACTAACAGAAATACAAGTCGATAATTCCACCACTATACAGGGGGGATTTTACTCTGTTTCTTTAATAGATCAAGCAGAATAAACATCAGGCAAGGGTTACAGATTTCAACCACACAACGAATAAACTTACACTAGCAACATATGTATGATGTACCCAACAATTGGGGAATATACCTTCTTTTCAAGAACCCATGAAATTAATGAAAAATGACTACATTTGGGCAGTAAGATTAACTGAGTTTCTATCTTTTTTCTAATATTTGGCCAGAGATGTATAGTGGTTTCCTAAAACTCCAAGAGAAACAAACAGGAAAAGGAAAGGGGAAGAAAACAAGACACTTCTCAGGTGTCAGGGAGGAGATAAGAATGTTGGTATCCATAGAGATAAGAGAGGGAATTCAGCTTAGCTGGGTATAAATGCTTGACTGCTTAAGGGATACCTTAAAGGTGATGACTACTGACACAGTATTTTTACTTCACTGGGGGCAAGGGAAGGGAAAGCAAACAGCACTCAAAATGATTCCCACTGCCTTCCAGTATAGCTCGGGTTACCTGAATTCTTTAAGGAACTAGTCAGCTGAGAAACGGTAAAATGTCTTAATCACTGAGTAACAATAGACATGTTCATCAGTCATAAATGAAATACCAGAAATACATAAAAACTATTTTTTTTATTTTTGGCCTAAAAATTGTGATAGGTAGTGGTGGAAAACTGTATTCTGAACATAACTTTCAGGATCCTGGCCGTTCATCACACAGTCGTCAATGTAATCCACGTTAGTTCAAGCCACCAATATTTCAGTAGCTTCCAAGTAAAAGTCATTTGAGACCATGGCAGGCTGCAAGGCCCTGCATGACTATCTCCTGACCTTTCTCTGATTCATTCTTCCAACATGCTGCTTTTCGCTCACTCGCCAGAGCCAGGTACACTGGCCTCGGTTGTCCTCAAACACACATAAGCTCTGGTGTTAAGGCCTCTGTGTCTGCTGTTCCCGCTGCCTGAAATACTCTTCCCCCAGATCACCACATGGCTATTCCTGCACCTGCTTCATCTTTATAAACATGTTACCTTTCCAGGGAGGCCTTCACTGACAAATCTTTTTAAAATTGCAATGACTGGGCCGGCTGAGTGGCTCAGTTGGTTAAGAGCTCACTCAAGGGTTTGAGCTCTGAGCAACAGTGGTTCGAGTCCAGCCTGAGCTGAGCTGCCGCTAAGCTTCCAACAGGTGGCAGGATGGCTCAGCTAAAAAAAAAAAAAATTTAAATTGCAATGACTAACCCCACCCCAACGCTCCCTATTATCCTTCTTGGACTTACTTTTCCCCTTAGAAAATAAATATCATTATCTCTTCTAGTATGTATAAATACTATTGACGATCATCAGCCCAAACACCAGAATGGAAGCTCTACAAAGACAAAGATTTTGACTGCTTTGTTCTCCGCTGCACCATCCCCTGCACCTAGGATAGTTTCTGTGGCATAAGAACTCAAAAAATATGTGTGAAAGGCTGAATTACTGAATCAATAAATCAGTACCTTAGCTTTGAAAGGGCAAAAAAATTAAACTGGTGTTGAATGGTTCCTTAAAGGGCTCTCCTAAGGATTCTATGATCCTGTAGTTTAAAATTCCTTTTCAATATTTTCTATTCATTCTATTAAGAGGTAGGTAGATCTGCAAACTGTGGTTAACAGTTAACAGTGAAAACAAAAAGAGTTATTCGATCATCATCAACTCCTAAATTTCAACTAAAAGTAATATATACACATTAAAAAAATCAACTCAGCTTTCTAATATCAAAGCATGTATTATTTTAAATATCAGGGGTGAGAAAGATTCTTCTCAAATTAGAAGTCTTAGGAAAAAATTCAACAACGCATACTACATCAGCTTCTACAAAGGTATTTCCAAATGTACTTTTCAGAGTAACACTAACCAAATAGGCCTGTTTTACCTCAAAAATTAGTCTATGTATCTATAAGGATTTAAATTTTTTGTATAAGTTAACAACAGCGTCTTAGTGTATTATCCTTTAGTTTCAAAGTCATACTTTTCTACAATGTAATCACAAATACAATTACAGTAATGTTCATAAATATGTTACCAATAAATATTCTGAGTTTCCATAATACAATATTTAATGTGATTTTCACATTGGATATGAATCCATTTATATGCCCAAAGCACCAATAAAATGCTTTGAATTGAAGATTATCTGGTACTTTTTGCTGAGAGGTAAATCAGCATGCATCATAAAACAAGTTATTTAATAACATTGAAATATTTCATTTATTAATCAAAGTTAATGTTCTAAAGACCAACATAAAATGTTTATCTGGTAGGGGCTCTTCTATAGGAAACTTGAAAAGCTTTGTACTCACCTCCAGATTTTCACCATCTGCACCTTCTTTTGTTTTAGATGCAGGAGGAGGGGAAGACACCGGAGGAAGAGGGCTGCTTATAATTTGGGAGCTGAAAAAGTAATAGGGGCTATCACTGATATGTAAATATTCTGTCTGCAAGAAAAGATACACATTTTTTTTAGCACAGTGCACCTCAATTATGTCTGGTTAAAGCGTCACATCCTAAACTGTGTACTGTGCAAAACTTGTCACATTCTGCTCTGGGGAAAAGAGGCCCCATAGTCATAGAATATGGGCATTAGCCTCTTGATGATGTATGTGCAAGTCTGCATATTAAAGTTTCTGATAACTACAGTGATTCTGAAAAAGAGCCCATTTACTTTAAACCAGCATTTCCCAAACATATTTAGCTATTGGGCCACCCCAACCTCTTTTTTACCTTTTTAAAAAATAAAATTAGTGACCAGCAGACATTAATTTGGGAAATATTGGATTACACCTGTCATAATATCTTAGACTTCTAAAAGAACATTCTAGGTGCTATACGGAGAAAGGTAAATTAGCATGCCTAGAATCTGACGGCCGGCAGTGTACAGTGGGAGAAAATGTGAGAGGCTCTCTTCTCCTGAATATAGAAAAATATAAAGCAGCCTGGGGAAAAAAAAGGGGTTTTAGTTCTTTTCCAAATGAAACACAGAAGATAAAAAATAGCAATAACATAATCATAAAGGAAAATTTAGAAATATAACCTTGAGGTCACATGATAATTGAAATAATTGGACTGATTCAGGAAATCTGAATTCTAGACCCCATTCTGTCATTAACCAATTTCATGACTTTTACAAAACAACTTGATATCAATGAGCTTCAGATTTCTCACCCAAAAATTCCTATTTATTTCAAATTTTAAGATTTCATGGACAGCACAATGGCAAAGTAGAAAGAACAGGGACTTCGGAGTCAACTCCAGCATTTGCAAAGTATATATATGACTTTGGGCAATTTACTTAATCTCTAGTTAAGTCTTTCATATCTAAATTTGGGACATGAATCCTGCTTCAGGAGATTATTGTAACAAGTTAATGTATGTAGACCACTTCGCAGTGTCTGCTACAGAGGTGAGAGTTTTAATTCTTATTATTGTTAATAGCTGACTTTTAATTCAAGTAACATGTTATTTCTTTAGTATAAGTACTAAAGAGGTGAAAAGCAGCCAATAAAAAAAATACAACTTATACGATAAAACATTGATTCCACTGACATGCCCAGTTCTTCATTTTATTTTTGCATGAACAGTAAATAGTATTCAACACTTAACAGTGCCAGACACTTTTCTAAATGCTTTATGTGTATTAACTCATTTAATCTTAAAGATCTGTTATTATTGTTATATCCTCATTTTTAAGATGTGAAACTGGGACCACACAGAGAATATGTAACCTACACGTCTATACAACTAGCTAAGCGACAGAGTCAAGATTTTAACTTAGGTATTCTGATTCCACAGCCTGAAAACACTGCTCTGTAATATAGTAATTTTATTATGTACAAATATAGTAATTGGTATTCTGTGAGCGCACATGCCATATTCACGGGTAACACTTCAAACTTAGTACCAACTAGGGTTTGGTACATCTGGGGAAAACCAAAAGGAGAGTGTTTGAAAAGGGAGAAAACTATCATATTGAAAGTAATTCCTCCCTGGATAGCCATACCTATCTATTTCTGAAGAATTTATTCCAGAACTTGACACACTCTCTGAGACTGAACCCTGGTTATCCTTCTTGGTGGGTTCTAATCCATTCTTTATATCATCAAAATTTTCATATTTGAGAGCTTGGACCAGCTGTAATAGGTACATCAACAAATCCTGGAATACAAACAAACAAGTTAATATTAGAAAAGCAAATGCAATATGATTATAGAAATAATTTATTCCTAAATATAAAGCTAGCAATTTACTTTTATCTATCACGTATCCATCAGCTGTGTTACCTTTGGCAGGTTACTCGGATACCTAACCTCTAGTGTCTCACTGGGCCTGCATCTATAAAATAGATGTAATCATATAAGCCTTAGAGATGAATTGTAAGGATAAATCAGTTAACAGAAAAAAAGTCACAGAGTAAGTGGCCAGTAAATTCCTTGTTTAAAGTAGTACCCAAAAAGCAAAGAAAAAAATAAAAACATAAAAAAAATGAGATGGTTCATCTAAAACTAAGAAATTGAAGGATACTTTTTTTAGCAATAGATCAGAAAACGGCATTTTATGTTTAAGATTACATAAGAAACTCTAAATTTTCAAGTTTATGAAACTTGAAAGAAGTACGAAACTTTGGTTTCATAACCTTTCTTAAAAAGTTTTTTAAAATCCTGTGGGTTTTCGTTTTTTTTTTCCCTGAAAGCTCATGTTTTAAGGAATCTACTTCCCTGACAACTACTAATAATGGCTTGAAGAAAACAAATCCCTAATCCTAAATTTCCCCTTCTATTGACAACCAATGGAATAACTAGGACTAAAAAGTGTCAACAAAGTAGCTTTTGCTTTTCTGAGTGTTCCCTTAATGTAAAAAGACTCTTCAGGTTTAATGTTTAGAATAGAAATATTTCCTGTCTTACTCTGCAAATGTAGTTCTTATCTCTTCCCAATGACTATTAAGAAAACTCAAAAAAAATTCTGAAGTATCTATTATCTTCCAGTTGCATTTGTCACTCAACCTAGTTGCCCCTAGAAAATTGTAATTAGATAATTTTGAGCCTTTGCAACTACCAATTCAATTTCAGTTTCCTCTTTTCGCCTATAAACCAGGTTAAATCCCCTGTAAAGTTTCATGGTGCACCCTTTCCTTTCCTATTTGTAACAACTATAGCATTTGTAATGACTAGCTTATTTACTCTTTGTCTTTTCCACTGTATTAGAAATTCTGTGAGGACAAAGACCACTTCCCAACTACATGTTTCCCCTTACTTAATACCATAATTTATTTTTACATAATACTTTCTTACATTGACATAATCAACATTTTTTACCATTATCCAAATACTGATAGTAATACACATGATTTCACCATTAAATATTATTTTTTCACAAAAAAGTTAAATGGGAGGTTTACTGAATTATTAATTCTTATTTAAATATATCAATCAATGTCAGTGGCTAAAGAAATCAAGTGATTGTATCACAGCATCTCTATAGTGTACTGCTTCTTAAAGCTTTTTAATTAGAGCAATAAACATCTGATTTTCTATTATTTTATTTGAGATTTATGTCATCTATTGGCTATAGATATGCTCCCATGCTTTTTCTAAGAAAAAAGTGAATCATATAACAGAAAAACGATTAATATATTTAATGACAAGTAACCTTCTTGGGGAGGTGTAAATAATTCAATTTCACTACTAGACTTTATTACCAAGGCAAGCTTTGGAAATGTCACTGAACATATCACCTGTTGTGTTTTCCCAATTACAGGGAAAAAACTTACCACATGAAATTAAAAAAGCAGCATTGTTATGAAATTCCCCAGGAAGGAGAAATTCTGAAGAAAACTTTCCTCTTTTTAAGTTACTCAGCATCATCTGATTTGTTGGTCATCTGGTATTCTATATTCAAACTATACTTCCCTTCGTTTGCATGGAAATGAATTAACTTCAATAGTAAGTACAAAGTCTGTTTGCTCATTATATAGTCACATCTTAAAAAATATAAAATTCCTTCAAGCATGAAGGACACAAGTATACAAGGAAAACAAACAAACAAAAATTAGGTTTCCATCTCAGGCAATTCAATAAAAATTTCCCAAGAGCAATGGAATATTTTCTAGATAGTGATCACCATTTCTCTCAAGAACAAGTTAATTCTAATGCTTCAGAGCGCGAATGCAAAGTTCCATGTCAAAATCACACACTGACTTCTCATTTCTTATTGAATTAAGAATAGCTCTTCATGTAGGCATTTACAGCTAGACATGGGTTCTATCTTGCCTCATCTACAGCTACATATGTTCCATACATCTGTTAAAGTGAAATACTTTCTATTTTTCTTGTACATTCCAATCACCTTGCTCATATTGCTCTTTCCACTTGAAATGTAAACTTATGTCGAAGTATGAAAATTCTACTCTTCAGTGTCTGTCTCAAATACCATTTCCTTCTCAAATTCTAATGAGGAATCTCTCCATGTGAGTCACACAACAATAAGAAATATGGCTAAGATTTCTTAAGCAGAATAATAGCGAGTCAAATTGAGAAAGGTATTAAAATACTGAGTAAGATTTATCTTACAAATATACAGGTAGTATAACATTAGGAAATCTATCAGCATAGATTTCATATATAGTATATATTATATACTGATGTGTTTCAGATAACATGATGCTATATCGACAAAAGAACAGGAACTCACCTAATACCTTTAGAACTAATAAGAGAAATCACTAAACCGACAAGGTAAAACATAAACATTAAAACCAAAACATAGTTTTTCAATTAACTAACAAACAAAAATAGGAGATAAAAGGGGTAAGGTAGTACGTGATAGTAACAATCATTGTTATGGAATAAATCTAATTTTTAGAAAGTACAGAAAATGTTTATAGACTCACAACCCGAATTAAAAAACGTATGTCTCCAGGAGGGAAGACTTAGTATCATAAACATGTCAATTTTTCCCTAATATAAAAATTTAATGTAATTCCACTTAAGATTTTGGTGGCATTTTAAGAAAATGACAGAATTATTCTAAAATTCTTAGCAAGAATGTACAAAAATTAAAAAGAAAATTGTTAAAAAAAAAAGGAGAAGATATGTCCAATCATGTGTGTCAAGTTATCATGAAGTAATTGTCATTTTGTTACAGTATGATACAAGCACAAAAATAGATTGGTAGATGATTATCAGCGAAATGTAAAAGGCATATATATTTTGGCTTAATAATTCCAATGCAAGCTGCTTATTCAAGAATATGGAAAAATATATATATATATACACACACACAAGACTATTCACTGAAATATACTGGGTTGTTAGAAAAGTCATGACGTATTTTTTCTATGTTTTTCGTTGCAAAAATGCATCATGACTTTTCCAACAACCCAACGGTTATAGCAAAAGATTGAAAATAACATAACTGCCTATTAGAAGGGGATGACAGGTTAAATAAATTATAAAATACATTTGCAGTAAAATACTATGTTGCTGTTTAAAAAGAATAAGTGAGGGCCAGCCAAGAGGCTCATTGGTTAAGAGTTGGCTTGGGAACGCAGGCTCTGAGCAGCAGGGCCACCGGTTTGGATCCCACATGGGCCAGCGATGCTGCGCCCTCTACAGCTAAGATGGTGAACAACAGCTTGACCTGGAGCTGGGCTGCCATGAGTCGCCAGCGACAGCGTAGGCTGTAGTGGGGCTGGTCAGCAGCGGGCATGAACTCTCGTGAGCTGCCGTCCAATGGCCAGCAAGTGGCCTCACCCAGGAAAAGCGTAATGATAATACCAACTTGGGCCAGTGAAGCAACGTCCTCCACAACTAGACTGAAGAACAAAAGGACAGCAACTTGTCTGTTCCCCTTCCCCGATTCCCCAACGCTGTTCCCTCCCCCAATTCCCCAATAAAGAAAGAAAGAAAGACAGAATAAGGTAGATCGACAAGTGTCCATAAAGTCTAAAATACAAGATTTTTTATTACAAATTAAACACGGCCTTGACTTCATTTGTCTTGATATTTATTTGCCTGTTTCCAGACTTTACGGACACCAAATACATGTGTCAATAATGAGAAAATGTCCAAGATTATACTGTTCAGTTAATAAGGCAAGATTTTAGCAATATATTTATAGGATATTCCTATTTATGTTAATTTTTAAAAAGAGGTATATATATTGCACATGCATACACATGCTTGCAATTTGCATAGACAATCAATCTATGGAAAGATATATGAGTGGCTACCCTTCTAAGGAAAATAAATGGTTGGAGGAGTAGTGTTGTCAAAGGAATATTACCTTCTAAATTATTCTTTCACAATTAAAACGCAAAGTAAATTGGGGGACGGGGGGAGGTTAATGTTACAGTAAAGAAATAAACCAAATGCTGTGGGAGCAGAAAATAAACAAACAAAAATTCGGCATGCTTCCTTGATGGTTCAGAGAGGTTTCTCAGAGGTGGTGAGGTCTATGCTACAGGTTCAAGGATGAATAGGAGAAAGATATCTGGGATGACGAAGAAACACATGCTACTGGACAGACTGTGGCACATTCAAGAAATTAAACTAATTGTTCAAACATAAAACACAGTATTTTTCATTTAAGTTTTCCAGTTGTCCAAGATGTAGATATTTAGACAAATTGACCTCTGATGTATCTTTTGATGCTATGATTATATGAATCTATTATCTTTTGCAATACCAAAAAACATTTGAAGTTTATAAAACCATTAATGCTGTACTCCAGGGCCGGCCGAGTGGCTCAGTTGGTTAAGAGTGCGAGCTCTGAGCAACAGGATCGCCAGCTTGATTCCCACATGGGCCAGTGAGCTGCACCCAAGCTGAGCTGCCAACAGGTGGCAGGTTGGCTCAGCTGGTGAGAGCATGTGCTCCTAACAACAAGGTTGCCAGCTGGACTCCCTCATGGGATGGTGGGCTATGTGCACCTGCAACTAAGATTGAACACAGCACCTTGAGCTGAGCTGTCCTGAGCTGCCGACGGGTGGCTGGATGGCGACTAGACTTGGAGCTGAGCTGGCTGTGCCCTCCACAACTAAGACAGAAGGACAACAACTTGGCTGTGCCCCTTCCCCAATTCCCCAACACTGTTTCCTTTCCCCAATTCCCCAATAAAATCTTAAAAAAAAAATACTGTACTCCACAGATATAGCAAAAAAGCAAGAGGGCATTTTAAACCAATTAGGAATGAATGGCACAGCACGCATGATTTTAGCATGAAATTTACATAATATAAATATGCAAATTTCTGCATCTGTGCATGAGGACAGTTTTCAAAACTTTGCCCCACATAATTTTTCCTTCATAACTCTCAAGTGACATAAGCAGCTATTGTCACTCTTTTTTTCAATAGGAAGCTAAGGTAAGAATAATATATAGTGTTCCCAAAGACATATATATGGATGTGTGTGTGTGTGTGTGTGTGTGTATATATATACACACACACATCCATATATATGTATGTACATATATATACACATACATATATATGTACAGTGTCAGAGAAAAGACAAAATTCAGATCTTCATATACATCTAACAAATGAATAGTAACAGAATAAAAATACATTTTTTTTTTAGCTGAATATATACAATTAACTACTGAACCAAGTTCAGAGAAAGGGAAATCATAAAATAACCATTATACTATTTATGCTATATCTCTAAAACCTCAAAAAAAACTAACAATAAGTGAACCATATTTTACAGTTTAGAATACATGCAATGTTTCTAATATTATCCTTTACCTCATAACGAAAATTATAAAGTGCTCTAGAAATAGGTCAGTACTTGCACGAACACTGATAACTCTAGAAACAAAAACACAGCCTCTAAGTGTGTGAAGAAACTAAAATCAAACTATCAAAAATGATGATTTAAGGGCCGGCCGAGTGGCGCGATGGTTAACAACTGGCTTGGGGCACCAGAAGCCCCGGTTCGGATCCACATATGAGGGCCAGTGACACTGCCCTCCACAGCTAAGATGCTGAACAACAGCTCGACCTGGAGCTGGGCTGCCGTGAGTCACCGGCAACGGCATAGGCTGCAGCCCCTCTGGCAGTGGGTTGCCATGGGCTACCGTGTGGAGCCAGCAGCCAGCGTGAGTGGCCAGCAGCAGCCATGAGTGGCCGTCCAGAAGCCAGTGACTGATGTGCCTCACCCGGGAAGAACGCAATGATGGTGCCAACTTGGGCCAGTGAAGCAACATCCTCCACAACTAGACTGAAGAACAAAACAACAGCAACTTGTCTGTTCCCCTTCCCCCAATTCCCCAGCACTGTTCCCATCCCCCCAATTCCCCAATAAAAATCTTTAAAAAAAAAAAAAAAAAGATGATTTAAATTCTGAGCCCACCTTGGGGGGGCTGTTTTGACTACCCTCCAGAGGACTTTAGCTAAACTCAATGACTCATGTCAACCATACACAGAGAATTAATGACTTAAGAGAAATTTCTAATGAACTTCAAAATAAATATTTCAATATTTCAAATAAGTACTGCAATAAATTTTTTAGTTGTGATACAGTAAAGACAATTTGGAAGGAGAAGATAATATGCTGAATAATGATACTTAGAATTGTTTTTTGATAGGAGAGTGAAATACATCCTATGTGAAAACACCCTACTATGATAAAATGATATAATATCGTGAGATTTGCCTCAAAGTAATCTAGTGGAGGGTAGGCAACGGGGAGGAGAGAGTAAGTGGTGTTATAGGTGAGTCAAGATTGCTTATGAGTTGCGATTGCTGAAGATGGGTAAATTATATGAGCATTCACTATACAATTTACTTCACTGTTTAAATTTTACTATAATTAAATACACACATATAAATATTGACCTTAATAAATGCTGCGTTTTGCTTTTGAAATTCAGATACCATTATGAATTCAAAATGACTTAATTATTTTTATAAAGGTCATAGATAACAGACATTCTGTGGGATCCACATTCCTATAGATATCAAGACTTGAGCAGAGTTATCCCATATCCCATAAGCCCTGTAAGCTAGTATAAGCTATTAGGTTATGTTTGACAGCACATTCACCCTATAAAAATTAATAAGTAGAAAATATTGCTGGATTAGTCTCCCTCATTAGGAATTACTAAAATTCCAAGTCCAGCAATACTTTGTGTCAACAGAGAGTTCTTCCGTCCTCAGTGGCCTTATATGTATATAAATAGCCAGCGAAAAGGTCGCAGTCTTTGCTTTCCAACTGATTCAAAACCACCTTCAGAAAATCTACATATACACATAATTGTCAGCAGCTGAAAGTTTAAAGGAATTTGAAGGAGAGTAAGATGACCATGCATCTCTATGTTTTGAAGGCCCCAAGGGCTTTTCAAGGCTACAATTAAATGTGGCTTGTTGTATACTGACTGATACAGGGGATCAGAATTGCTCCCCCGCTGGTGCTGCATTAAACCGTTTTTCATTAGAATTCCTTTCTCCAGACAGAGCAATACAAGCTCTGCAGCCAGGTAAATGTCCTGGGAGAGATGGTCCTATCACGAAACAGATCAGGAAGTAAATTTTCATTTCACAGAGGAGTCCTCGGAGGAATATTTTAATTTTACTTCTGAAAACACACCTAGTATATCCTCTTCCCTTTTTAAAAAATCTCCCCACCTTCCTTCCCACACCCCCACCCCCCTCATCTCTCTCTCTCTCTCTCTCTCTCTCACAGTCTATCTAATCAGGCTGTAGTTTATGAGGTACCCAGGGATGAACACTGCCAATCACGTACCTCGTCATCGGCCTGCCGCAGTCGAGCGACGGCGTAGCGCCTCACTGTGGGGTTGCTGTAATGGGAGGATAACAGCTCCAAGGAGTCCTCTACATCCATTGGCTTCCATTTCCCCAGGAGCTCCAACGCCTGTTTGGCCTCCTGAGGGAGGTCCCAATTAACACACTTCAAGAATTTTGTCAAAGCCTAAAATCAGAAAAGATTTAAAAATTAAAAACGGCGGCCTATTACCTGGGGCAGGGAAGGTCAAGGGCGACTAGACAGAGTTCCACTTGGTCCTGAAGGAAGAGTCACAGAGCCAACGACAGGCTCCTTATGTAAACACTAAACAAGGTCATCCAGAGGATCCGAGAAAAGCACTGCAGGGCAGGGCAAAAAAGCACGTCGCCTGTAGCTTTACACTCAAACTACTTTCAGGGCGCTAGGGATTTTTAACTTTTCTTTGGCTTTTCTTCCCTATGCTTTTGTTATTTTAAAATACTTGAGGCTTCAAGACATGGAAACGGTTGAGACATGTCTCATGAACTCTGAGATGCCTTTGAGAAGACCTTCGCTTTACATCTACATGTAACATAAAATGAAGATCCAAGGGACCAAAGAGTCCAAAGCCAAGCGAGGGTAGAACCCTCACCACTAACCCCACTCTTGAGCGTCTCTCCACGGTCACTGGGTTTCCTAGATACTCACATGCATGAGGACTCAAATTAAACTGAATATGTTATGTCTCTCTTAACAAAGAGAAGTAACTATTTAAGAGGACGAACTATCAAACAAAAATTCCACAGAAACAAGCATAAAAATAAACACAAAAGCAGCAGAAAATATTCTTGATTTTCTGGCTGTTTGTAACATTTTCCTAGAACCTCACTTCTTGAGATAGGTGGCAATGCTGAAGTTTTCACCAGGCTGACAGGTAAGTAAATTACCTGGGAGCGTATCACTCATGGTTGCATACATAATAAATGCTTTTTAAAGAAAGGTGCATATCTGTTTTCTATAAATAGCAATCTCTATTGCCAGGTCTCCCTACTGGCAACACTTTCTTGGCTGATCCCAAGACATTTTCTTCTTTCTCTTCCTCTATGAATTCATCTCTTACACAAAGATAATTTTAAATTTTTAAATTTGTGCTAAAATCTCATTAGCAAACTCATCAAATTCTCAAGAAAATATCTCCTTGGACAACAAAACAGAATTACTGGTTAGTATGGCATAAAATGAAATTTCATGTGCATTCCCTAACTTATTGATATAACTAAATTAAGAAAAAAGGCACTATGGAGATTATCTAATCCAATGCTCAAACTGTATATAATTTCAGCGAAGTCAAGTGGCTTGCCCATCACCTCAAAACAGTGAAGCAGCTCAGAGTCCGGGTCCACTGATGCTCAGTCTGGCCATCGCCCACAGGGGGGGTCCTCCTTACCCCAAAGGCACAGCCATCTCCTAGTTAGCTAAGCCCCTGCCCCTCGGAGCCACTACTCTACTAACACTAATCTCCTAAATCCATTCCCAACTCTTGTCAGTCATTTCCTAGCAATATTTCCTATTTCTCCTCAGATTGATTCTCACTATACCACACATTTGGAGTGTGGCACAGCCTTTTAGCTAAGAGCCTCAATACCAGTTTCTCTTCTAAGCATTTCACACGAACTCTCAGAAGCTAAAGTAGAAAGTGATTTTGGAACGAACCTCCCACTGTTGGCAGAAATTTACCTTGTAACATCCTTGACATAAAGAGGTCCAATATTTACTTAACTAATTCCAGTGACTAATTTCCCAAGTACCTCTTAACATTTATAGACAGTGAAACCATGTTTGTTGTTTTTTTTAAGCTATAACGAACCAAAAGACAACAGTGTCTTCACGTAACTTCTTCCCATTCGTCAGTTTCACTGTCTAGAGAGAATGAGAGTAAATTTAAGCCCCTCTTCACATAGACAACCTTTCCAATATTTGAAGATGGCTGCCATATGGCTATAGTGTGGTTTCCAGATGGATGATCGGGTTACTCGAGTCTGTAAAACAAACAAAAAAACCAAACAACACCACAACCTTGGCTTCTGTCTCAAAACATTCCATTGGTACCTCTCACCACATTCCAAACCTCTAGCTCTCAGTAAGCTCACTCTCGTTGCCCTTCTCTGATTCAGCCAAGTTCACCTGTCTGACTTCTGTCAACAAGACTTCCTTATGCTCACCAAAACAGCAGTGTTATCTTCTCTCAGGCCAGGTTGTCAAAACTTCAACTTTTCCAGGAAGTTTTCGGCAACTTTCAGCTCTTCTTTACAAGTTGCCTCAATCTTGTTCCCTTCATTTAAATGATGCTCTTCTAACGTCCAGACACTTTTGTGGGCAATCTCATTTCTATAGCTGGAATCTGCATTCCCCACGGAGAGCTATCCATTTCCCTCGCACCTCCTTCCTGCACACCATATAGCATAGTGTTTCTCTCCAAATAAGAACACAGGCTGTCCTACTAACTTATTCCATGCAAGTATTTTTCACTCCTAAATTGTATTTCTAGGTTGCATGTGGAAACAAAGCAATACTTCTTAAATAACTACAGCAAAAGCTTTTCCATTTCATAGTACATCAGCAGTCTTAATAGAAATGCGCAGCTGTGTGCTTATTATAAGCAAATCTTGCAGCATACCAATGTGCCCAATTCTATAACTGAAACACTCTAACTTCCTAGATTCTCAGATTTATAGATATATTAAGATTTACAGAGTAGACTACAGCCAAGAAACTTAAGTCACTGTACAAAGAATTCCACAATTTTATAATGCTAAATGCTGCAAATGTAAACAAGGAGGTAGCAGAATGAAGACAGAAAACGAGGAGAAGAGGAATTAGAAAGACAGAAAGTATCAGAATTTGAGGGCAGCAATAATAATGATGATACTTAATCTTAAATCCTTTAAAGATGTTTTATTGGTCTACGTAAAGGTCCAGGATTCAACTGCAATTTTTTTCCCTAGAACTTCCACAGATAACTGGAGTGAACTTACAAGCTGCAGACTAGGGTGTTTGGGGTCAAATCCTATTTCCTGGCTCCATTAATTATTAACTGAGTCATTTGGAGCATATTATTTAACTTTTAATCTTGTGGTAAAGATTAAATATGTTATCAAACCTAAGTGTTTACAACATTACCTTGCATATAATAAATACTTGACAAATGTGAATTATTTTATTATCCAATATTATTGTTATTCTATTTCTGATGTTGAGTCCAATGTCAAATGTTAACATTAGTACATTCATTGCCAAGTTTTCTATTAACAGCAATAAACACTTAGCTTCCCTTTCAATCTTAAATCATCTCACTGGTATCTCCTGTTCTAAAAAACACGATCACAATCACTCCAGAGCTAAAAATACTGTATTTATCATATGTATTTCTAATTTTAACTTCTACCAACTCAATGATTTGGAACTTCTACTCTGTTGCTAAAGGAAAACCTATTCTTCTACTCAAGACATTTCTGACACCAAATGTGTGGGTTTTCCACACCATCCAACTCCCTGGTTCTCTGTGGACACCAAGTGGATGTCCTACAATTTAATTTGATTCTGACATTAACTACCTGGGTCAGTGCAGACTTCAACTACAAAGGAGTCAGTTTCACAAGACTGCACCCCATGTCAGATGCCAATCTTGGGTCCCCAGGTTGCCCACATTTGTGTCTGACTCAACTACAAATCAGGTGTTCCCACGACACCCTCCTCAGGTTCGATAATTTGCTATAATGGCTAACAGGACTCTGACAAATACTTTACTTATTATTGCTGGTTTATTATAAAGGCCACAAATGAACACCCAGATGAAGAGGTACAGGGGGCAAGGTCTGGAAGAGTCCCCAGAACAGGAGCTTCTATCCCCACGAAGTTTAAGGTATGCTACCCTCCCACCACCTGGATGTGTTCACCAACCCAGAAGCACTATGAACCCTGTTGTTATAGGTTTTATGAAGGCTCCATTACGTAGGCATGATTTATTAAGATCACTGGCCACTGTTGACGAACTAAATCCCCAGTCCCTTTGCCAGAGGTTGGGGGGGTGGGGCTCAAAGTTCTACCCTCTCATCAATCACAAGGTTGGTTCCCCCTGGCAATCAGCCCCATCCTCCAAGAGTCACAGCATTAGCATCAACTCCAGTGTGGTTCAAGGGAGCTTATTATCAATAACACAAGATGCTCTTCTCATCCTTACCACTCAGGACAATCCTAGGGTTTTAGAAACCAAAGACCAAACATATATTCTTTATTATATCACAATATCACAGTTGTTCTTTCAATACTTTCAATTCAAAACATTCATAAATGAAAGTGTCCCCTCAGCCTGCTCCTTCCACCTGCCGTATTCCTCATTTCAGGCACGTGGGCCTCAGTCCTGGGCGTTTGCCTCCAAGTCATTTCACATCATCGCTGGTCCTTCCCTTGGCCTCCAATACAGGTCTCAAAACCAGTTCATGAGTCTTCTAATCGTGTCCCTTTTTTTCATTCCCAGCTCTGCTTCAATCCACCCTGGTTTGCCTTCCTTAAAACACCATTGGTGAAGATAAGATACGCATTTTCCTTGCTTTAGTGGTTTCCTGCCGCCAGCGAAATCCAACTCCCAAGAACAGAATTCAGGGATCATCGCAAATTTATCCTCCATCTTTTCCATCTCATAACCATTCCTTCAAACTTTCTGTCTCTGCACTTAACGCTCGCCCGTACTCATGCTTTCGTTCGCCATGAAAAATGATCATCAAGTAAAAAACTCCAGGAAAGCTTTCTCAGACATCACGACCAAGCTTTGCTCTAAGACACCTCCCTCACACTGTCCCTGCTTTACTCCACATCTCTGATACAATGATTACCTAAACATTTACCAAAAAAGCAACTCTTATCAATGACGATCCTATATGTCTCCATTTTGACTGTATAGAAATACCCTTCCCCTAAAACAGTTTTAGTTTCTATAAAGACAGAGAAATGATATCTTGAAGCCCAGAGTCCTGAATAATACTAGGCCAACAGTTGATAAGAACTGCTTGCTGAATTGAATTAATTTCTGCTGTGATTCACCACCAATTTCTTGACAGGATGCACAAATTTGACCCTCTGTGCCCTGACAGTCCTGATGTCACTGCCCCAGTGGCTTCTTCAGAAGCAACCTCTTCAGGACATTCAGTGAACCCCTATCACCTTCACCACATATGACTCTTCCTACTGCATTTCCCCTCAAACGAAACAGGAAGGCCTTAAGTTAATGTAAGTTATTGTTTATCAACATTTTTATAAGAAGAAAGGCATGGTAAAAGCTAGTTTTGAAAAGTTACAATATTCACAATTTGAGTTCCATAAAAATGAGTCACTTCCTACATGCTATGGACCAAAAAAAAAAAATTTTTTTTTTGAGAGAACAAGTTTATCCCTTAAAGCGTCAAAATTTATTCTAACCATTTTGAATAATATACTACCTTAAAATATTTTATACATTTTCCTATTGAACTGAAACTAATTTATCCTTTTTGTCCATGACTGAGGGCTGTCCTTAGGGACAGTAAGTCACATTCAAGTAATTTTTTTTTTCAGATACATTAAAAACTTTACTAGAAATACAGAGAAAAAAAATAAAATGGCCTCAGAGGCTTCTCCTCCCTCTAGGATGGACACAGAGATAAACAGACAGCACTCCTAGGTCCAGCGGGGCCCGCTCCCTAATCCACTTCCTTCGCTTCCCGGAGCAAGGCACCCAGCTCCTCCGGCCGCTGCTGCAGCAGGGTTCCCACATCTGGGCTGGCGGCCAGGTTGGGAGTAAGGGTCCTGCCAGCTGCAGCCTGGACTCCATGAGATGGCCGCTGGGATCAAGGAAGGCTACTGTCCTGAAATTCTATAGCCACTGCAGCTTCCTTGAGCTGCTGAAAACCAGCGTCCCGTTGCACTTCAGAGGTTCCTTGAAGATGTGGACCACAAATTTTAAAATACTTCATAAATTTAACTGGTTTTGTTGGACAAAGTTATTACTGTGAACTTTTAAGGTGTAACATCAAGTCTAGACTAGAGGACTTTCATCCGAAATAGTTAAGACTGTGTGCCAGCAAGGCCTGGCATGCAGTCATTTAGAAAAATATAGGTGGAAAGACCAAATTTAATTAAAAAATAAATAAAAAGTATAACCCTGTAGGAACCAATTTCCACCAGTTTGTTTTCTGAGCACTGCTTTCTCTCTAGAAAATCATTTCAGCCTCAGGGCCCTGATGCCAAATAACCTAAATCACTGTTTCTAAGAAACTGACACTGAAAACAATTTCTTTGTGTAAATAAATTAAGGGACAAAGGTACAGGAGTTATTTGTTTTCTACAAAACCCATTCTAAATTATTACAAAGATACAAATGTGGCTGTGTGAATAACTCCTCTGGTCACTTCAAGGCCAATATATATTTGGTTTACTGAAAAGCGCTTCCCCAACATTAAAAAATATCGTTCACTCCACTCTAGTGATCATAAAAATCCTATAATATGTCCTGAGAATTGAAGTTTCATCACCCACTTTTCGAAAACTTGAAATCAACTAGTTAAATGAAACTTGTCACACACTTTATATCACTTGAGCATTTTATTTCTTTTGCACATATCTAGAAGTAATTGAATTTCAGTGGGAAGTGACTACTTGTTTAAACAAACAATTTTTCTTGCCAGCCTTTCTATCTAAGGCAGTTCTGCTCTGTAAATCCATTCTATGCTTCTTGAACTTATACATTCTAACAGGTTTAATTCAATATCTTGCTGTGTATTTTCGACAAGATTGTGCTGCATTCAAGATACAATTTCTGTTACCAAGGTTCTTCTTCATTTAACAGAGTATCACATACTAACTCAATTTTTTTTTTCTAAAACACAAAATTACAAACCTGTGATTCTATTGATGCACATTTCCTTTTTTGCACTGATGAAGAGAATAACACGCAAAGCTATGGCAAATTGAAAATTCTTCTCTCATTCTTATTACGGTTATAAGGAAAATGATTGTAATTCAGTTACAAAGAATCTCCAAAGGCCTCCATCAAAGGAGGAAAAGCTGAAAAGTTAAGATGAGCTGCAACTGGATTTTTATCTTTACTTTTGAAACTAAAGAAAATACAACTGTTTCAGAAAAATAAGTTAAAGTAGCTAAAGAGTATCTCATGAGGCTTCTGAAACGTTTATTCATTCTTACATAATATAATGACTTTCTGACAGATACTAATTTTGTTGATGCTTCTCAGTTTTACCCCCAATGCATTTCACAATTTCTGCCATGTGCATGATGCTGCTGATATTTTCTCTATAATCCTCTTTTCTGTGTCTTCACTGACTACCTTCTCTTCTAACTCATAAATGTGAGCATATCAAGGAATGGCATTTATAAACTTTGTGATTCTGCACAGGTTCCTTACTCTCTAAGATTCAAGTTTCCTCATCTGTAGAACAGTAACAATAATACCTAAATTGTGTGTGTGTGTGTGGGGGGGGCAGTGGGATTTAAAAGATCCCTGGCACATAACGGCTATTTAATAGATGCTGGTTATTATTATGATACTTTAAGAGTTAACCCTTGAACCTATGTTCTAAGAATCGGCACACTATTTTAAGAACTGCAAGAGACTTAAAGTTTACTATCATTTAATCGATACATATTAAATATGAGGAAACTAAAGCTTAGACACGTGAAGTAATTTGCCTGCAGTCAAAAGGCTTCTTAGTGGCAACAGTAAGACTCAAAACAAGGTCCCCAGACTACTTGCTTCATGCAATTCTGTCTCTCCAGAGACTTCAAATATGCCCTGGTTTCATTATGGAAAGCAAATGTTTAGTTCTGACCAAGCCTCTCTCCTGCACTTGAAGCTGGCTGACACTCTATCAACTCAAGTTCCACAGTTCAAATAACATTTCTCATACTCTCTCTCTAGCCACATCTCCTCCAGAAATCTATAGTTCTTCTAATAACATAAATATTTTGCTCATCACTCAGATGCAAAGAGCTGAGAAGAATGAATAAAGAAGTGAATCAACATTTATTCTGCACCTACTATGCACCAGGTACTGAGTCGGGTTATTCACCTGTATTATCTTACCGATGAAGGAAGGCTGTCATAATTAGGAAAATGAGGAAACCAAGCTTCCAAAGCAATTTACCTCACCTTCCCTAGGAATAATAAGTTGTAGTGCTGGAAACTGTCGCTCTAACTTAACCTACTTAGTCATTGTCTATGCATCGACAAATGCGCACACGCATCCTTGTGTGTTTATTTATTTTTTTAAATGGAGCGTCACATACATTGTTCTGCAACTTGTGAAAAATTTGACAATATCTCTATATTTCCATGGCAGTGTTACCTCACCGTGCTCATCGACAACAAAGTTCACAGATACATTAGATTATATATATATATATGAAAAGATTCAAAAAACTCACTTTTTCTTGATTAGTAAGATAATATCTAAACTTCCAAACAAGATCTTGTTCTTCATATGTAAGTTGCTTGGTTGGTGGATAACTCACAATAATCTACAAAAGAAAAAAAAAGAACTACTTTTGTCAAATACATTCCTTCTATAAGTTTCCTACATGTATTTAAAACTTTTCATTTGTCTAAACATATCTATACTAGAACTATTATAGAAGCAAGGAGAATGTACAGGCAGCCAAGTAAGACTTAAAAGTGCTGTATATATCAATCCAGAAAGGATATTATTAGCGTGGAAGAGAGAGAAAAAGATAAGATGAAAAAGGCATACTCCATCTAAAAGTATATAACTATAGAGCTTATTTAATTCAACCAGAAACAAAAGAAACCAAAATAACAAAAGCCTCCCCACAAAAGGGAAAAATCCGAACAATAAATGTTTCTCTTATCATGTTAATGTGTGAGACAACACGTGTGCGCACACCAAGGCCCCTGTCAGGCAATGCGCCTTACAGCCAGATTCCAAGACTGCTGTGCCACAAAAGTATTATATACACTATTTGTCCCTCCGTCCCCAGGGCTAATATATTTCCGGAAACCCAATAATAAAAAAACTATAGAAATGTGAAATTGTTGAAATCAAGTAAGGTTTATTACTCTGGAAAAAAACATTCATCTAAATTACTTTTAACTGAAGTGTCATCACATCACTTGCAACCAAAAGACCCATTTAGGGCCAGCCGGGTGGCTCAGCTGTTTCCAGTGAGCTCTGAGCAACAGGGTTGCTGGTTAGATTCCCACCTGGGCTAGTGGTCTGCACACCCCGTAACTAGATTGAAAGCAGTGGCTGGACATGGAGCTGAGCCTGTGCCCTCCACAACTAAGACTGAAGGACAACAACTTGACTTAGAGTTGATGGGTCCTGGAAAAACACAATGTTCCCCTTCCCCAATTCCCCAACACTGTTCCCTTCCCCAATTCCCCCAATGAAATCTTTTTTTTAAAAATACCCATTTAATTATTTTTACATTAATATTTTATAAATCCTTACATTTAGCTGATCTCTTGTGGCAGCATTAGGTTTGAGATCGTGGTCTGAAGGTCCACTTCTTAAACTCCGGGCAAGCTTGTGGTGTTTGCTCTCAACTAAATTCTCCTATAAATTATTTTAATATATTAATCAACAATGCAAAGTTCACCCAAAGGAAGTTTCAAAAGCCAGTTAGAAATAGAAAGATAGTTACTTATATAAGACTATTTTATAATACTTAATATTTATTTTTGTTACAACTTTAGTCTCCTAGGTATGATTTAAAAGTATATCACCCTTGTGAGATAGGGAAACGAAGCATGCTTTATGCTTCACTGGTGCCATGATACACACACGCCATTCCAGTTTCTTAAAACATCCGCTCCTCCTGCTCCAGGTATTCAGGATTTTATCCACTCAAACAACACTTTCACTCTAAGATCGTCCCTGACAATCCAGAGTGAAGCATTCCCTCTTCCTATGAGCTACTAACAACCTTGTGATATTGCAGTGCTTATCATCTTAGGCTTATCAACGGCCAATAGTAACTGAGGGCAGGGACCATAATACTTCATAGAGATATCTGCTGCTAACTATTTACCTGTGGCCAAAATTGTTTGTTTTAAATGTACTGTCTTTGCTTAAAGACTTTTATTTTATTTATTTTTGTATGGGTGAATTGTCTGTTAACGTCTTTTTCCTAACTTTCAACTGGCTTTTTGATCCTTTGTTCTTTAGTTTCTAAGAATTCTTTATATACTAAATATTCAGCCCTTCGTGATGTAAATAACAAATAGTTTCTCCCAATTTATCAATGGTCTTTTGACTTTGTTATGGTGTTTTTCCCATTCAATCAATTTTTTAATGCAATCAAATTTAGCAATCATTTCTTTGACTGCCTCTGGATTTTGAGTCATCATTAGAAGGTTTTTCCTTACACTGAGAGTAAAGTACTAGTAAAGTTTCATTTTTCAACATTTAAATCCCTGATCCACTTAGAGTTTTTCCTTATGTATGGTGTGAGGTATGGATCTGATTTAATTTTATCTTTTTCCAAATGGTTATTCAGTTCCTCAGCTCCAGTGATGAAATGCTCCAGTGATGAAATGCCATCTTTATCATATACTAATTTTCATATTTACTTGGTTCTATTTCTGGGCTTTTTATTTTGTTCTACCAATCTATTTGTATATGTACATGTGCTAGTACCACACTGTAATTACAGAAGTTTCACAGTCTGTTTTATTGTCTGTTACAGTAGTATACCAGGCCAGTGGCATTCAGTTACTTTGTTAAAATATATCCCTCTATATAGTAAATAATCATGGCTACAAACTGAACTGAATTTTTGAGCACAAGGGGTGAGGAAAGTAGTTTATCTTTAAAAAAAAACAAACAAAGCAAAAAACAACTTTTGTTTTGTGCTTGCTAGCTTATATTTAAAACTAAAAATTTTTAACAGGGACCCTAGTTCTTTTTTTTTCTTTCTTAATTACAGCACCCATAATGTTAAAGCTGCAACTGTTGAAGAGCATTTTGTTTAGAAAATACACTAAATATACAGACATGTCATTTACCTGACATTTCGGTAGATGTTATACAAAAGTGATACCTATGATCCCAATATGACACAATTTGTTTACTCTTGACCATTTTGTAGGTAACCACCAAGTATATCCATTTGTGTCTTTCAAATATCCAGAATGCAAAATATAATTTGATTTTATAATGAAACTTCAGTGTCAATTTTAGATTAACTCAATTTTATCATGCTGTGCATAGGGACTGGGGAGGTACATAGGGTGTTTGTTTCTAAAAGATTCCCAAGTGACTCTTCCTTTGTAACTTTTTACTCTTTTTTTCCCTATCTCTTCCTCTGATGTTAGGCCATTAGCCATTACTTCACGTGTTAATTACCTGTATTTACCTCGGTCATCATGTTTTCATCTTCCAATGTACTACTTTTAATCTACTTTGGTTTCATTAGGAAGGTAGCTAACCTAATTAGAAATTCATAAAAGAAGGACAAAATGGTTCACAGTAATGCAAATGAGTTATAAGTATGAATATCAAGGTATCTAATTGTGTTGCTAAACGGATTTTTTTGCCTGGAACTTTCTATATCTCAAGTCATGTATTAAACCTCTGTTGCAAAGCAGGAATTCTTACCCTTTCATATCCATGAGAGAGCTATCATCTCAAAAATTTCAATAAGTAGGTATCTCAAAACCATCTAAGACACCATGATTCAAACTGAATAGTACTAGTAACTATTGGGTTGTCGGAAAAGTTATGACGCATTTTTGCAATGAAAACAGAAAAAATACGTCATGACTTTTCCGACAACCTAATACAATACTCTTCCATATTTTGCAACCAACCCAGTCCTCCTAAAATTTGCATCCTTTGATCCTAGTGTTATACCCTAGTGTAATTTCCCTTCTTTACAATGACAATCTTTCAAACACAGGCAGCCTAACTCAATTTTATTGCACTTTGCTTTATTGGACTTTGGAGATTTTTTTTTTTTTTTTTACAAAGTGAAGGTTCGTAGCAACGCTGCATCAAACAAGTCTATAGGTATCATTTTCCAACAGCATTTGCCCACTTCATGTCAGTGTCACATTTTGGTAACTCTTGCAATATTTCACACTTTTCCAACATTATTATATTCATTATGGTGACCTGTGATCACTGATCTTTAATGTTACTATTGGGTTGTCAGAAAAGTCATAAGTCATGACATATTTTTTATTTGCTTTTCGTTCCAAAAATATGTCAATACTTTTCCGACAACCCAATATTTTAACTGTTTTGGGGTGCCACTAATCTACCCTTATATAAGAAAGCGAACTAAATTGATAAATGTTGTCGGTGTTTGGAATGCCACTGACCAGGCATTCCCCCATCTCTCTCTCTCCTCAGGCCTCCCTATTCCCTAAGACACAACAATATTGAAATTAGGCCAATTAATAACCCTACAATGGCCTCTAAGTGTTCATGTGAAAGGAAGTCACACATCTCGCGCTTCAAGTCAAAAGCCAGAAATGATTAAGCTCAGTGAGGCAAGCATGTCGAAAGCCAAGATAGGCCCAAAGCTGGGCCTCTTGTGCCAAACAGTTAGCCAAGTTGTGAACGCAAAGGAAAAGGTCTTGAAGGAAATTAAAAGGACTACTCCAGTTAACACACAAACGATAAGAAAGCAAAACAGCCTTATCATTGATATGGAGTTCTAGTGGTCTAGATAGAAGGTCAAACAAGCCACAACATTCCCTTAAGCCAAAGCCTAATCCAGAGCAGGGCTCTAACTCTCTTCAATTCTATGAAGGCTGAGAGAGGTGAGGAAGCTGCCGAAGAAAAATACGAAGCTACCAGAGTTTGGCTCATGGAATTTAAGAAAAGAAGCCATCTTTGTAATATAAAAGTGCAAGATGAAGCAACAAGTGCTGATGTAGAAGCTGCAGCAGGTTCTCCAGAAGATCTAGCTAAGATCATTAATGAAGTGATGGAGGCTGCACTAAACAACAGATTTTTCAATTAGAGAGAACAGCCTTATGTTGAAAGAAGATGCTGCCTAAGACTTTCATAGCTAGAGAGCAGAAGTCAATGCCTAGCTTCAAAGACTCAAAGGACAGGCTGACTCTCTTGTTAGGGGCTAATGCAGCTGGAGTTTTAAGTTGAAGCTCACTTACCATTCTGAAAATCCTACAGTGCTTAAGAATTGTGCTAAATCTACTCTGCCTGTGCTCTATAAATGGAACAACAAAGCCTGGATGACAGCACGTCTGTTTACAACATGGTTTACTGACTATTTTAAGCCCACTGTTGAGAGCTACTGCTCAGAAAAAAAGATTCCTTTCAAAATATTACTGCTCATTGACAATGTACCTGATCACCCAAGAGCTCTGATGGAGATATAAAACTAGATTCACGTTGCTTTCATGCCCGCTAACACAACATCCATTCTGCAGCCCTGGATCAAGGAGTTATTTCAATTTTCAAGTCTTGTTAAAAAAAACATTTTGTAAAGCTACAGTTGCCATATACAGTGATTCCTCTGAGGGATCTGGGCAGAGTAAATTGAAAACCTTCTGGAAAGGAATCCTTATTCTAGATGTCATTAAGAACATTAGTGATTCATGGGAAGAAGTCAAAACATCAAGATTAATAGGAGTTTGGAAGAAGTTGATTCCAACCCTCATGGATGACTTAAGAGAGGTTCAAGACTTCAATAGCGGAAGTAACTGCAGATGTGATGGACATAACAAGAGAACTAGAATTAGAAGTGGAGCCTGAAGATGTGACTGAATTGCAGCAACCTCAAAATAAAACTTTAACAGCTGAGGAGCTGCTTCTTATGGATGAGCAAAGAAAGTGGTTTCTTGGAATGAAATATACTCCTGGTAAAGATGCTGTGAAGATTGTTGAAGTGACAACAAAGGATTTAGAATATTACGTAAACTTAGCTGATGAAGCAGTAGCAAGGTTTAACAGAACTGACTCCAATTTTGAAAGAAGTTCTACTGTGGGTAAAATGCTATTCAACAGCATCGAATGCTACAGGGTAATGGTTTGAAAGAAAGAGCCAATCGATGTGGCAAACTTCATTGTTGTCTTATTTTAAGAAACTGTCACGGCCACCCCAAATCTTAAGCAATGACCACCTTAATCAGTCAGCAGCCATCAACATGGAGGCAAGACCCTCCACCAGCAAAAAGACTACAACTCACTGGAAACTCAGATGATGGTTAGTATTCTTTAGCAATAAAGTGTCTTTTAATTAAGGTATGTACATTTTTTTAGACAAAATACTATTGCACACTTAATAGACTACAGGATAAGGCATAACTTCCATATATAATGGGAAACCAAGAAATTCCTGTGACTCGCTTTATTGCAGTGTTTATTT